TCCTCCGCTACTAAGTTGCATCCCAATGGGTTTTCTCTTTTAGCTGTGGAGAAGGTTATTCAAAACCCTGGTACCAGAAAACGCTACAGTACATCGACCTGCATAACAACATCAAAGAGCATTTTTTTTAGTTCATCCCTCTTCAGAGTGCGAATGCTGACCCAGTTGCCAGCACGCTGAGGGAGAGGCTGGGCACTATCCTCCCCGATGGACAACAGGGCAAACGAATCGCCCAAGCCTATGACGGTGCAGCGGTGATGACGGGAGCTAAGGGTGGAGTTCGGCGGAAAGTAAAGGATGTGTCCAGAAGTGCACACTACATCCACTGTGCGCATGAGCTGAACCTCATCATGCAGCACGCAACATCACACATCCCCAAGATAAGAACATTTTTCTTCAGACCTTGGTGAATTTGCTGCATTTTTCTCCAGGTAATTTAAGCGAACTGCCATCCTGGATCAAGTGTGGTACACAGACTTCCTGGCACTTCCACAACAAGATGGAACTTCCACAGTCTGCTGTTAACACTGTGTATGAGCACAAGGATGTCCTCCTAAGGTGTTTACAGACCATCAGAGACTCAGGTGACTTTGATCCTCTAATAGTGTGAGAAGCTGGGGGCTTTGTGAGAATGCTGGATTTGTCTTTTTATTGACATTGTTCCACAAGATCAAGCCGTGTGTAGACATGCTGTTTAACCAACTGCAGAAGAGGAACATTGACTCTCTCTACATCATCCAGAGGTTCACCAGCAGCATACAAACAATCAGGTAAATCATTATTTACAATGGCTGAGACATTCTTAATATAGGAAATCTGCGAAACCTAAATGTGAATTAGCTGAACTTGCTAACAACTCATACATACTTGTTTCAATATCTTAAAACAGGCGAACTGGAAATGTATATTGTAGCGGCCAAAATCATATAGAACTAAAACAGATAATTAACTTACAATAATACAGCCGCTGAGGCACTAGTTAGCAGATCTTACGCAGGGCAATGATCCAGGTCCAGGAAAGATTCTCCATTTGTGCAGTTTATTCCGATAACAAAGTACAATGAACAGGTTTCCTATATCCCTTTTTCCTTAAGCCTTTCCTATGGCTTTCCTTTGTGTTGCTTGAAACACCCTGGTAAAAAACCGTTTGCCTTCTAGTGCTCTGGCTCCAACCACCCACCTATCTCCAATATATACAATTACACCAGATGCTCTCATCACCCAGTGTCCAAAACATGCCTTCAAAATAAAAGCATAGAAACTACTTTAACTTATGAAGGTAACTAAGAATACATATAAATAAATGATAATAATAATAAACACTATAAACAGCAAGAAAATAAATGTTAAACTATTAAATAATATGTAAAGAGATATATATAGCTCCAACATATATTGTACACGATGTATAAGGTGTATCTCTGAATACTATTTCAAATAGTCAAACCTAATTTGTCAATTCTTGCCACAATGAGTACATGGTTACTTGGATGAGGGACTCCATTCCTTCTGGTGAAATCAGTGGATCTGTGCAGCAGCCGCCCACAAAGAACGGAGGACACTTGGACATGAAGAGCAACAGCGGTTGGCTAGAGGTAACCAGTATAGTAATGTGTTCCATGACCAAAAGCTCCTTTCATAATATAGGTAATTTGTATCACAATAATGATTACATTTCACAATAAAGCCCATTAACTGTTAGGTAAAATATTGACATTGAAAGGCCTATTTATTATGTATGTATATGTGTAGCCTGTTATTGTCTCATTATACCACACTGTGAATGACTTAAAGTAAATATATGTGCATTGTTTGCCAACTGCTGGTGTACTACAGCATAAATCAAATATGCTCAAATAGCACACAATTGCTGCTAGTATGACAGTAATTACAAAACTCTGCCCCATAAATATCCCAATAATCCATCCATGACACCCCACTTTTATTTGATTTGCATACTTCTATAATTATGTCTTATATATATATATATACAGTGTGTGGAGGCGGGGTATCAAAGGTACAAGCTAGACTTTTATTTAGCATCTGAAAACACATCATGTGAACAGTTTCATGCCCGGGAAGCGAAGACAGGCGGGAAACGGGGAAGTCCGGCTCACTAAAATGTCCGTGCAGAACAATACCCCAACCCATAGATCAGTGGGTAATAATGTCAATCACCACACAAAGCCCCCCCGGTTATTTCACCCGATCGTGAAATCCTCGGCCTGTGAGGAAATACTACCCAGACCACCGGTCGCGTAAGGACTACAGGGCTACAGCCGAGGAGGGCGGCGGCCGCAGGCCAGGTGCAGGGGCGCCCACCGAGGGCGAGGACATCCCCACAGGGAAGGGGGCGCCATGGGAGGGTGGCCCCGACGTGGGGGCAGAGCCACCTCCAACGGCCTGGCAAACGTCCACGTGAGCAGGCTCGTATCCGATCAACGGACACCAGTCTCAAGCCTGCCACCAACGTCCACCACCAAGCTCTTGTCCCCATGACGTAGCCCTGGAACGGACCGTCGAAGCGAATAAAACACAAAATCCGCCGACCGTTAATCGGCCGGACACCCGGAAAGCTCGCTGGGTGGCTGTGCTGCAACGTGGACGGCGCGAATGTCCCGGCCGGTTCTCCAGCAGGGAGGAGCGCTGCCCGGCCGCAGGACCAGGGCACATGGGGCGGTGGGAATTTAAATCCCGGGGACCGTAGCGTCTGGCCATAGACGAGCTCCACCGACGAGGACTGCAGGTCTTCTTTGGGCACCACCTGAGGCCGGAACATAACCCAGGGGGAGCTTATCCACCCAGTTGCCGTCTGTCCAAGCCGGCTTCATGGACCGGTGAACCGCTCACACAATCCGCTTAGCCTGGGGGTGATATGCGGTGGTGCGGATGCAGCTTGACCCCCAAACCCACAGCAACAGGCGTCCACAGCTCCGAGGTGAACTTGAGGAACCGCGGTCAGAGGAGAGGTCAGACGGGGTCCCGAAGCCGCGCCACCCACGTAGCCGATGAAGCCGGGCGACGTCGGAGGTCGACCATTGACATGGTCCAAACCTCCCTTCCAGGAACTGCAAAAAGTCAAAAGGGGCCCTAGTATGCGGTTTGGACCTTTGGCCCGTTTGACAGGCCACGCACGAGTTTCGCAACCCAGGACCTCCACGTCTTCTTAAGCCCCTGGCCACACGAACTTCTGCAACAAACAATTCACGGACGGCTTCCTACCGGGGTGGGGAAAGATTGTAAACTGCCTCAAAAACGGCGTCGGCGCCAGTCCGCAGGACAGGGTCGAGGTGGCCCGTGGAGACGTCACACCACAGCTTCGCCGCCAGAGTCACCACCTTGACCTTCCTCCAGGTCGTTAATCCCGTGACCGAGGCCTTGAGGGTCTGACCCGTGGTCAGAGGCCTGGTCAGCGCCCATGCGGAGGAATCGAGCCCAGCTGCCACAGCTCGATGGACGATCTGGAGAGGCAGTCCGCGACCACGTTAGCCTTGGCAGCGATGTGTCGTATGTCCGTGGTGTACTCGGAGATGTACGAAAGCTGGCGTTGCTGTCGGCGCGGGACCACAGCTCGGTGAAAAAGCGCAGTCATTGGCGTTTCCCCGTTACCTTGAAGTGCAGCGGGGGAAAGGCACATCTTCGCTTTCTCGCCCGTAGCGTGCATCGGTAATAACCACAGGCCAGGGCTGGAGTTTGCCGACGTCGGCCGGAGTTTCTGCTAGGGGCAGCCTTGTACCAGGGAAGGGCCGCTGCGTGTCGGGGCCAGCACCTCCGGGGCAAAACGCTGGATTAGCCAGTAAGAACCGGTCAGCCTCTTCGCCAAAAGCGCGGGGCTCAGTATAGCGGTTAGCGAGCGCTGTTGAACATGCGGTGACCATGTGCCGAAGAAACAGTTCTATGAACAAAAAATGTCGGTTCTTCCGTACCCAGCAGGCTGAGCATCATCTCCATGTGGTCCAGAAGGCTTGTTGTCCCCCAGGGCTATGAATGCGAGCAGGCATCGGGCCCGTTCCGACCGTGACACTCGAAAGTCTTCAGCAAGGAAAGCCTTGAACGGCTACATATTTATCCTGGGCAGGAGGAGATGTAATAAAGCCCACCGTCCGGGTCCAGGTTGAGCTCCCCAGCGCCGAAACAAC